CCAATGCTGAATTGTAACCAATGATATAAATATTTGTTTTATGACTTCACGTGATTTTCTAATGTAAATAAAATGAACAGTTGGCAAAAGAGCACAAGCGAAAATAGTATAACAGTTTAAGAATATTTTTATTGCAAAATGAATTTCTTCGCCGAAAATTCCAGTTAAAATTGATGGTAAATAATTAAAATTAATAATTCCAATTTCCAGTATACCACAATTCCATGCAGCCTGAATTAACATCGACCATTCATAATGATGAATTTTCACTCCATTCCTTTCATATCTAGCACGCATATTCGTTATTTCTAAATATATTTGTTAATGTAACAACGAAATCGATTAAGAATGGAAGGAAGATTTGGGAATTTAATAAATTTTAGGGCAACTCTTCAAAACTAATTTTGAAACAGTTAATAAATCTTATTAATTATCTATATTATATAAGTAAGAAAGAAACAATTTAGTGATACAGACTTTGACCATTCATAACGAGTTTTTACTGCAGCATCCTTTTTATGTTTGGTACGCATATTCGTGATTTCTAAATATAAAAATTAAGATTAAAGAGACGATTGAGGAATAAATTTTAGAGTTAGCTTTTCAGAGCCAACTTTGAAACAATCGTTAGATTTCATTATAATTACTCTTATTATGAAGAAAGAAGGGAACAATTTAATGGTAAAGATTTCGATCTTGATTGTTATTTGCTGCAAACTATATTGCAGAATATCGCGATATGCATGATAAGCATCGCATTAGGTATGAACAATGACCAAAGATAAGTTACCGTAATGTAGTAAACAGCTAACCATTACTTAACGTTTTAAAACCAATTGAAATTGCAACAGCAAGGAAGTGAAAAGCATTCATTAGCTACCGTAACACAGAAATCCTTCGTCACATCAAATTTTTTAAAATATGCCAAAGAATCGGTGAAACGTTGCAGTAGAACGAATTTCTCGCCAATCAAATTTCCTGCAAACTAATCCTAAACCTAAAATTTTCGCAAATTGGTTTTAAGCCTAATGCCTTCGCAAATTAATTCTGAACTTCGAATTTTCACAAATTAATCCTGAACCCAAAGTTTCCGCGCACTGGTCCTGGACTAGAAGTTTTTAATTTGTTCTGTGACTTCGCATTTGCGAATATTTTGCGAATTATTTATCTTTTATACCCAGAAATTTGACATAATTGTGTAGCATTGAATGGTTTTCTCATTTCTATTCAATTTGCAAAAAAAAGTATCCATTCGTTTTTACAAAAATTTCTGCCTGTTCAAAGAAATTGTTCGGCAAGTTGTAAGATCATCACTGTACAGTATACAATGTCATCATTCTCACTTAGAGAACGGAAAAGATTTATTTTTATTCTGCCACACGAAATAATTATTAACGAACTGCTTAAAAAAAGTCTGTAACACTGGAGTTATTTATATCTATGTACATAATTTTTATTTTTTTAAGTTTCTATTAAGGTGATTAATTATGACTTGCCAAATGATCATGTGATTTATGTACATTGTATTATCCATACTGGTTATCTTCATGGAGCTGAAACGACATCATTCATTAATCTGGCTGAACAGAATTCAGCTTTGATTGCTGATATTGTTCAGGTAAAACTATTTTTTTCTCGTAGTATGCATTTAGTTGGGCGGACTGCACATGATTAACTGTCTAACTACGGGTTTTTATATATTTATTAATTACTATGTTGGTAATTGATTATTGAAGAAGGTTTTAAAGAAACTGCTGCTAAAATTGGAAATATATATTTAGGTGGTTCAAGAAGTGGAACAAATATCATCTGATTTTCTTCTTGATTTTGCTAACGATCGTATTGGACGAGCTGGTTACAGCTCGTATGGGAAGTCAGTGTATGCTTTGGAGTTTTCCTTCCAAACAAGAAAAAAAAATCCCAGATGGAAAAAGAATGATGCTAATTAGGATATTAGGGAAATGATATTAGTCAGAAAATCGGAAGAATCATCTAGTTATTTTTGAGTCCCGATGAACGAAATAGCGGTTTTAAAATTAGCTTTTCCTTAATTGTTTTGTTTTTTGTATGGAAATCACTTAATAAGTATTAGACTGGGATCACCACTGAACAATTGGTGTTTCAGGATCTGATGTAGAATGGTTTTATTCGTAGATTCAAAAGAGGATTTTCAAGGATTGGATGTATGGATTCTTGTTTTTATTTTGATCAAAATTTTCGAAATCTTATGTCTTATTTGTAGAAACTAGGTAAATCGTTATTCAGGTCGGTGATTTAAATCAGAAATGAAACAACAATTTGTTTTTATTCGTGATTTTTTCCAGCAATCTCAACTCATCCATTTAGAACTTTCAAAACAGAACAGTTCAATTTTCCAAAAATAAATTGATAAATGGTATAATTAAAAACATTGTAACCGCAGTTGCAAATATCAGTGAAGGTTTCGAACATACTAACTTTTGAGAGGTAAATAATGGAGTATTAGAAACTTTGGTGATGATTTTGCAAATCGAGGTATACCCGGTTTCTTTTTTTTTTTTCATTATCTTTGTTGTCACTTGAGACGGGTTATAGTGTTGAAAATTTATTTCCTTTCTTAACTTCTTATATTACAACATGTATAGTGTGATCTTATGTCACTTGTTTTATAAATAGTTTCACGCTGTGCTGGTATGTTGACATTTTATTAACTGATTGAAAAACTATGTAATTAAAGATCGACAGAACATCCAATTTTTTCTTATCCAAGTTTTAAACACATTTGTTACGTTTATAGATTTGCTTTGATGAATCTGGATTTACAGAATTTGGTGTCAGTCAATAATATAAATGAACACTCAAAAACGATGAGGGATCATTCCGGAATTTCTACTTGGCAAACGCTCAATCTTGGAGCGTTTATCCATAAATTATTTAATGGATAGAAAATATTGCTCGAAAAAAATCATAAAATTGCTTAAGAAACATCAACAAATCATGCCGAAAATTGTCAGCTACATGAAAACGATAAGAAAATACCGCCTTCCTGAGTCAAAAAAAAGTAATATTTTGGTAAAACTAGCGCCACAAAGCGGTTTAATGTTAGGAGAAACGAAGAATGGATTATGGAAAGGAATGAAAACATATCCAAAGTTTATATATGCAATTAATCCATGTTGTTTCGATCACTAAAACATAAACAAATCAGTTATTTAAGGAAAACTTTCTTTGCATTCTGTGATGAAAATATTCGAACTCAAAAAACTTCAAAAAAGTTTCTCAGGATCAAACGTTGACTTTTTTCGTTTAAAGGTGCCACAGAACATATGTTTCGAATTCTTGCAAAAAATTTGATTGGTCCTGATGAAAATTTAGTCTGCCGCTGTAAGCCATTTGACACAATTAGCACAAAAACTGGATACATCAGCTTTTATTAACAAAGTGAAAAACCTTTAGTCTGTGTTCTTTGAGGAAAATGCCGAATTGATTGCTATTGGTTGTTAACAATAGATTAAAAATCGACCATATTTAGTACGTTCCATTATTACTAATCATTTCTTCATCTTAGCAATATCATTTTTAAAAGAATTAATTGAAGGCAATATTTAGCTGAGACTAAAATAAATGATGTCTAAGGAATATAAATAAAGCAACTTATCGTATGATTTGTACTTTAGTTTGCAATATTTTTGACAATACAACAGTCAATTCTGGTGCAAGTGCCATAAGTTACAAATAATTAGTTGTAGTGCGAAAAAGTGAATTCATGACTGTAATAATTATCCTCTACAGAATAATACAATCACCATCACTGTGATTACTAGTAGAACTGTATTGCAAAAGTAGTGTAACTATGTATTTTGTGACCTTGTGATTCTCGTATCTTATAACAGTCACATCTGCCATGTTTCTTTAGGGTTAAGGGTAATATCAGAAATGATACAATAATATAGTAAAAACGAACCAATATTTCGTCAATTGTTTATCATAGAAATTGCTAATAATAATATTACCGCTGTCGTCATTATTTTAATTCGTTTGGACTGCTCAATTTCTGAGCTTAATTTGAAGTAACTTCACTGCTTAGTTTTTACAACAATCTATTTTTGCATTACGTAAGCCATTCATTGAATAAATTGCGATACAAATTGATAACTCAATTAATCAAATGCGGAATCAAATGCAAAATAAATTGAAAATAATTAACTAATTACGATGTAAAAGGCAAAAATAGATTGAGAATCCACTGTCTTAAGTTGGATCTACTTAATATATCAATTAAGCAATACACCTTTTGATATAATCAGTCAAAATAATATAGTTCAGCATGATTATTAACAACAGCCCGAACTAACTAAAATTCAAATTATGAAACAAAATGCTTCAGTACTTTTGCGATTTTTTGCCTAATTTATAATAGCAATTCATGTATAATTATCGAATGCGATAAGAGACTAATTCCTTGCTCATTCTGCGAGTTCATCCTGATTATCGATTAACAAAGTGATGGATCGGTCTTATCATATCATCCTGTCATTTCTGATATTACCCTTAATCTGTCAGGAAAGAAACACGACAAATGTGGTTGATATAAGAGATGAAAATCATAAGGCCACAAAATTCGTAGCAATAATACTTTTTACTGTTTTTGTATTCTACGGTATTATTAGTAACACATTGATGGTAACTGTATTATTGCATAGAGGAGAGAACAGTCAATACAATCATGAATTTATCTTCATCGCATTACAACTGATTATTTCTCATTTCATAGCTTTTCTTCCACAAATGGCTGTTGTATTACCTGAATTATTGCAAACTAAAAACAATTCGTATGGTGAGTTGTTTTATTTACATTCTTCAAATATTACTTATTATGGAATCATTTTATTCATTTAGCTAAATTTGCTTTTAAGTAATTCTTTTAAAAAATGATATTGCAATAATGAAGGAATTATTGTTAAATAAAATGTTGTAAATATATTCATTTCTAATTTTTCATATAAAATATCTTAATAATGTTTCACTACTAATTGCAACCGACAATAACCAATTCGGTGCATTTCTCGAAAAATAGAGACAAAACTTTCAGATCTTATTAATAACTGATGATAAATTCGACCTTTACATTACATAACTTGTATTACATAAGTTATATCAAATGTCTTCTAGTGGGAACCTTAAAATGGAGCATTCGACTTCTATCAGTTTTATAAAAATTAATAATTTAGAATTTTGGAGCGAAAAATCTGAAACCCACACTTAATGATAGCTTTAAATGCTCACTTCTTTGTGTGGAGTTTTTGCGAAGTTTGCTAAGGCATATTATTTCCATTGAAATGAGAATAAATAACTAATCTAACCATATTTTAGCAAACGAAACAACATGGATTAACCGTACATTCGCAACTTTCAATATTTTTCCACTCTTTAGTATTCTTCATTTTTTATTTCTATTAGCACTGGATCGCTTTGTGCTGCTAATTTTACCAAAATATTATTCTTTTTTCAAGTCAACAAATTGTATTTTCTAATCGTTTTCATATGGTTGTCAAGTTTAGGTATGATTCATTGATATTTCTCAAACAATAATTAAAATATTCCTTTCAATCAATACTTTCTATCATTTAAACAATTAACGGGTGAGCTTCCAACCATACAATATTCTCTCAAGTAAAGATTTCGAAGTGATAAGGTTTTGAAAAATGAATTTCTTTGTCGTCCTTAATTACTATTCAGTTATGCCACATTTTGCTAAAGTTACTGACGGCAAATTTCTAAAAATCCAGTTTCGTCAAAGCAGATTTCTTGTTTGTTTTCAAGGTACTTGATGCTTATTTCCAGCATTCACATTTGTCGATTTACATTGTTGCATCAGAAGATTCCTTGTCTGGAACCTGACTTGGGAAGGAAATTGCACGAAGTCAGGTAGAGTAGGCGACGCTTGGTGGAGGTTAACTTTCAATGAAATTTTGTTCAATTTTTAATGAATTTTAAATTCAATCATTAAATTGCAATTTTTCACACATAAGCTTTTGCATTCGAGGAACTCCAAAAAAATCACCAGATTTTCAAACATATTTTAAAAATTTAATGCCAATTGAAAATTTCTCTGCTGGATCAGTTGCTTTCTTTTCACTTTCCCGCTGTTACTGTAAGTATCGATTGAGTTAAAAACGATTATTTGTTTATTATTCTTTAGATTGCGCTATTTTTGGGCTTTGGCCATACCTAATGCAATGTTCGTTATGTATATCGTGATATTCTATAGCATACGTCGTAAGCGTCGTTCTGCAACAATTAACAATCACAGTCAAAGTCTGTATCACTAAATTGTTTCTTTCTTACTTATATAATATGGATAATTAATAAGATTTATTAACTGTTTCAAAATTAGTTTTGAAGAGTTGCCCTAAAATTTATTAAATTCCTAAATCTTCCTTCCATTCTTAATCGATTTCGTTGTTACATTAACAAATATATTTAGAAATAACGAATATGCGTGCTAGATATGAAAGGAATGGAGTGAAAATTCATCATTATGAATGGTCGATGTTAATTCAGGCTGCATGGAATTGTGGTATCCTGGAAATTGGAATTATTAATTTTAATTATTTACCATCAATTTTAACTGGAATTTTCGGCGAAGAAATTCATTTTGCAATAAAAATATTCTTAAACTGTTATACTATTTTCGCTTGTGCT